AAGTTAATAATGCAGAACACGAAGATATGAATATCCCCCCCCCAATTGTCGAGCTGGCGGCGCCACGGCGTTCTTTAACAAAGCACGTTCAAAACAACATTTATTCATGTTACTCGAAATCGTGACCTTCCCATGACACAACGAGGGCCTGCGGAGGAGGCAGCCCGAGGGTGGAGATTTTTGGTTATCATTCCATGTTTCGCGCACCAATATAGGTTAGGGTTAGGGGTTAGGTATTAAGGTTAGGGGTTAGGGGTTAGGTTTAAGGTTGGGGTTAGGGTGTGTTATATGTGTGTGGAGGTATCTAGTGAACTTTTCAGTACACTATAATACCCATTACATAACGTTTACTATATTGGTGAGCGAAACATGGAACGATTACCGGATTTTTGACATTTTTTGAATTTTTAAAACCTCGTGTAAAAATACAAAATGGCTGAACCTGTAGATGAAAGGGTCAAGGTAAGAATCCCCCTTATTTCATGTTCAAACAAACCATCCGCTTCTGTAAATTGATTTGTAATGCCAAAAAAGATGCTATCTATCTTTTGTTTTGCAAGAAGACTCTTTTGTCGCATTCTTTTCTTTATATCTCACACTTTTAATACTAGCCCAGCGTGCATTCAATACTATAATTATATTCAAAATGTTTGTGTTTTGTCTGTCCAGATTTAACTTCAACATCAGGATAGTTTAAGCTGGTGGATCAATTACTCTCGCGGAGTTGCGTTTTCCAGTTGAACTTAAAAATGTAAACCAACCTGATATCAAGTATATTTATATATTTGATCTATTTGCTCCGATTCCTTGCAGAACCACGGTTTTATTTCCCACAAATATCAACTGTTGTCGATAAAATTTGTGTCAAGCTTATAATATATAAGTGTCGGTCTTTCAATCTCTTCATGACCCAGGGACATTCAACATTAATTGACAGTTCTATACTGCCATTGGCCTTGAGAGAGGAATATTGACAAACAATTCTCGAAAATGTCAATTGCCCCTGGGTATGCCCGCACTCCCCCCGTTGGTGCATGGAAGACATTGATAGGTGCATTATAGTTATGATTACATTTTACAGCAATTTACAACAGACTCGCGCTGTTGGCTGCTATGCAAATGTTCTGCTTGCATGCAGCTTTATTCCTTTAGCTTATTACAAATCCTTTCTTAGTATTTCCTTGGACCTTGCGGTTTTGCCCAATATGACACTGAAAGACTCCAGTATTTTATGCAGACTTTGCGTTGCGACGTTGCAAATGCAACCCACAAAGAATAAATATACAAAGAATACATATACAAAGTTCTATTTACTTTATTGACTGTTTCACTCAAGACATCTCACTCACTGATTTTGCAACGTACACATTTGTTAAATTACACCCGCTCTGAACTTTACAGAATTGACAAAACAGTATTCAGCACATCCCTACAAGTTTTCATATGACCAGTTTTATTTGTCACTGTTGCCACCACCGTAGGAAGCAATTTTTTATACCAAACTCACAAACTGTCTTTGTTCACCCATTCAGGCGAATAGAATTTGTACTTCGCCATTTTTATTTCTATGATAAGTGCACTTGTTATAAAGCTAGCATACTATATAGTTACTGTGGATTTCGAAATAGCGTTTCAGCGCTTTAATTTCCGATAATTGTTTTTCCGTTGAAACATACACCGTTTGCTAAGAGTCAATGTCAATGTTGCTAAGTGAAGTCTAGTGCCCGTAGTGGTCTTTGCCCGTTGTTTTCTTGTCCTTTGTTTATCATTTGTAAAATGTAACTGTTATATTCGTGTTTATCTCGTCATTGGCAACATTTTGATATATAATTTACGAAGCTTTGTGGATCATTTCATGTTTTTATTGATATTTTGGAAATTGTCGCGTATAAAAAGCCTCAAAATATTTACCGGCTATTTATAGTGACGTGTTTCAACGGAAAAACAATTATTATCGGAAATTAAAGCACTAAACGCTCGCTAGTTCGAAATCCGCAGTAAATGATTGAACAAGTGTATTTGTCATTGGCAAAGTTGCCTATACAAACGAGCAAATAAAACTCGTCGTATGAAAACTTATAACGGAAAACCTGCTTTTAATATACTGATAATATCGCCTGTTAAAATCTTCGAAGCTCGATTTTAATACGTTCGTTTGTATTTAACCGGATACAGTATTGGAATATATTTAGTAGGGCGAGAGACCGTCTTCAGGCTGGAACTCACGAGATTATAGTAACAATCAACTTTAAATGTATACATGATAAAATATTTTGGGTATGTAGAGGAAATTTAGAATCGTTTTACCGTTGATAAAACGCGGCGTACTGTACGTTCACAAACGTTGGCGGAAGCTCTATAATGACGAGGAAAACACTATAAAAATGCTCTCTGCTATGAAATATGAAGTTGACTAGGGCATGAATGGAATAAAATATGTTTACGTACCTACCCAAATGCAGACGTTTTCTACTGACGTATCCCGTACTTTAAAGATAAACAGTGCGTCTTTAACTTCGAACCAAAATCACGATGTGACAGAGAACACGGAAGTTGAACGGATGTAGTAAGTATTATCCGATCAGCATATCTTGTTAATATTATAAATATATAATTACGTATAATGTTAAAAACGTTGAAAGAATAAAACGTTTTGAAAGTTTTCGATAAAATTTTACATTGAATCGAAGCTTTATATAGAATCATTAGAATGCATAATAAATTGTAAACATGTCGGTAATCGAATTATTGCTTCGTCATTAGGGGCAGACCATTTGACTTTTGAGGGGGGGGGGGGGGGGGGG